CTCCCGGCTCCCCTCCGAAATGATGTTGATGTGGCCGTGCTCCCTTCTTATGCCCATAGCTCTATGTTGTACACTCAATAGGACCCTTGAATCCCATCATCCCCATGCTGTCTTCTAACGTACATGATCTGCAAATCTCCATGTAACTCTGACTGCTCCCTCTTGTTTGACGATCTAGGCTCTTCCCTTTAGGCTTGCGGCTGCTTCTCCTAGTCATCAATACTCGGGTGTAATACCCCACCCTATACGTATTACCTAATCATATTGTTCATACATTTGCAGCGGAAATAATCTCGGGTATTACATTGATTATCAAAATTTACCCAATTAAAATTTCGACATGAATTACTCGCTTAATGGGCTAACAGTTCTTGCAACTAGACCTGCAAAATAATTTATAAGAATATATGCATTCATAGACTTATATATATACTCACAACCATATACATTGGCTTTCAAAGCCATAGCCACACCTTTGTACTCTGCAACTACCTACCATGCCTATACATGTCATAATCGTCACAACTTACATAATTACACAAATATACACATATTATAAACTTTCTACACCTGTGGACATCTCACACTACATCAGAAGCTAGTATGCACATGAAAATGTTCTCAAAACATTTTTTACAAAAGGGTGTGGATTACTGGCCAAAATCCCGAGTAGTAGTCCAAGCACAGAATAGTTGAAGACCATACCTCATCTTGCCTTCAACTCTTGCTCAGCTCCCACCTATACAGCTATCTACTACTCCTGATGATGATGATCTGCTTACACATGGCATAAGCAGAGAAAAAGGATAAAGAGGGTCATCATTGCATCGTGAGTTCATAACAAAGCATAACCCTACCATAGATCTAGCAATCAAGCCAAAACACTAGGATCGGACCTCAGCCATCCTCTTATCCCAATGGGCAAAAGACTCAACCACCTTGATTTATGCATATGCGTCTTATCATGTTTTACTTATAGGCGCCTGGCTACTCCCATGCTAATAACTCTCCCGGGAAACATACCCCATATCCCGTCGGATGTAGTCAAACATACCCCAACATCCCGTCGGATGTGGTCATACATACCCCACACCACTATGGGTGTAGTCATACCCCGACACCGCTATGGGTGTGGTCATATCTCGTAAGAAATCTTCAGTCACCACCACATGAGAGGTGTGACTATCATACATATCATAATAGAGTAATAGCATAGGGAGCCCTAATTACTATGTAGTTGACCGTGAGACCAAAGTATTCTTATACATGATCCATATCTCATCTTGCTTAATCATAATTCATTACTTGCGCATGTACTTGACCTGACCATAATTGGCTCAACATAGGTAAACCAGGAGTCGTATAGTTGCACTTCCTTGGGATAAACCCTCCTTAAAACATTATAATATCACCCTGGGAAGTTTATTTCCCCCACTTGTGAATCCAAATACAACCACAATATCACATCATGTCAAAACACCTGATCGAACAACCATGAAGTCATATCAACAGTTAAGCCACAAATGGCAACATGTATGCAATCATCAGCATAAACAAGGTCCATATCGATTAGGGCAAGTCAATAATATCATACAACAGTCCAGGGTTCAACATATAGCACAAAAGGTCATACACCCCTAATCATACCATTCTAGTTCACCTAGGTCAATTCTAAGCATCAATATAATTATCGTGATACGAAAAACCCGGTATGTCGTGCTAATCCCTCACCAGTTCTGGTCGTTCAAACACCGGTTCTAGCCTCCCATACCCCCAACATCACTTTCTCAAACAAACCCGGAATCAAAATCCGAGATTGTCCTAATATCCCCTGCAGTATCCCCGTCAATATTAGTTCTAAGCTCCGGGTCAAATTCTCGATAAAAACACATCAAACCCTGGCTGGAGCTAGATTCAGCGATTCCGGATCTGACCTAAATAATAGCCGAAATTCATGGATTAGAACTAGAAGATTAATTACCTCGCTGCAGGAAGTTCGTATATGAAATTTGGGCTCAATCCGGCTTCCGGATACTCTGAAACCCTAATTTGGCTTATCGGGAATTCAAGAAATTCCTGAACCAAAAACTCGTTTTAAAGCTCTAAATCGATAAATCATGATGTATGGATGAATTAGGCATTACTTACGGAATTTTTGGATTGCTAAAGTTCAAGAATCAAGCTGTGAAAATTTTCCGAGGAGCTCCCCTGTGCACGGCTCTATTTCTGCTTCTCTCTCGGTGTTGCGAAACGGGAAATAGAAAATGGCAGGGGAGGGGGAAAAGTTGTGTATATATACAGTGGCTGCTGCCGCTTTTGATTTGCATTTATTATTTTTTGACAAGGGAAAATCCCTAGTGAGTTGGCTTACTGATAACAAGTTGCAATTAAAACCCGGAACCAAGAGAACCCGAGGGAGGATCAGTCCATTAGGAAGCCGAATGGAACCAACACTGTGAACCGGGATGCCAGTACCGTTCGGTATCTTAACGCGTAGCCCGGAGTGTTGAACAAAGTCGCCCTATGACAGTATAGAGATATCTCGTGCAATATGTTCATTGCAACTTGTATCAATTATCCAATCAGTAGAGCGAATAGAAGAGGTACCTGCTGGTTGCCCATGATGATCATCCGAGGTAGGACGATCGGAAATAAAGAAGGATTTAAGCAGCTCGAATTGGGCAGCAGACATGTCAGGAATAGGGCTGGTCATGGATGCAACTTGGGCAGCCTTGGGGTTGTCCCGAGACTCTCGAGGTCGGGCATAGCCTTTTCGTCGATCGCCTTTGCCGGATTTGCCAGACTTGCCGTCGTTCAAGCGCTCAGGCCACCCAATGATCTCGAAACACCGCTCCTTCGTGTGGCCTTGCTTGCCACAATGGGAGCACTTCGGTTTGTCGCCATCGCGCGGGCGATCATCCTGGACGGCAAAAGTTGCTGCCTCGGTGGACGAACGATGCGTGGCTGCGATGCGTCTTTGATGTGCATATTGGGAGACGAGCTGGTAAGCCTCAGAAAGCGTGGGCATCATCTTATTTGAGAGGACTTGCGTTTTGACCGTCGTGAAAGAGTCATCGAGCCCCATCAGGAAGTCATAGAGGCGACAAGTTCTCTTCACGAGCTTGATTTTTCTTGTCCGCACCGCAGCTACAATTCCCACAAGTGCAGAGATGGAGGGGCGCCATGGCTTGAAGCTCGTCTCACAAGGAACGCAATTGAGTGTAGAAAGAAGACACAGACAGCTTTTCTTGGGGAAGTTGAGCAATGGATCGGCGAACTTCATAGACACGCGGAGAGCTGCTTTGTGCAAACCGTTCCTTTAGGTAAACCCACATGTCACAGGCAGTTTTGGCGTGGCGTAACCCCCGATGGATATCCTTGTCGACAACAGAAGTAATCCAGCCTTTTACCATCGCATCGACGCGCAGCCATGCATGCTTGGTCTCGGGATTGATGGGTTCCTTGATGGAGCCATCGACGAACCCTAGCTTATTCTTGGAGAGGATAGAATTGGTCATATCATGGACCCAATCGGCATAGTTGGCGTCAGTGAGGAGATCGCCAACGTAAACCTGATTAGGGTTGTCAGATTGGCTAAGGAAGAATGGCGACGAGAAGTCCAGGTCAGAGCGACCACTGGAGCTGCCGCTCGTCTTCTCCTTGGTTTCTGTGTCGTCGTCCGACATAACGAGCAAAGTACGAGGAAGAGAACGGTTTGCTGGATGTTGTCACAGCTCTGATATCATGTACAAAACGACAAAACAAACTCACAACACAAGCGATTTACGTGGTTTCCTCGTTCCCCGTGAATGAGACTACTCCACGGGGTAGGGAAAGCTCAAGCTTTCCCGGGTTTAGGTTTTATTTCTTCCTCTCTTTATCTCTGCGTTACATCATTAGTTTAGGTTATATATCCAAGCCAAAACCCTTTACACAAGAAACTAGGGTTGGCTAAGTTACAAGACACTCCTCACAATAACAATCGATACAAAACAGGTCCAGTGAGCTAGTGTCTCGCAACAATGAGAGATGTCACTATGGAGACTCCATTCTCGAATCTTGACTTTCTTCTCTGTTTGAGGCTTTAAGACCTTCTCCTAGTCGTATTCTGGTGGCCAACCCTATTGTGAACATCCAAAGAATTGAGATGGCTGCTTCTTCCCTCAAAATTGTCTTTTTCACGTGATTTCCAAAATGACATATTTTTTAATTGGTCAAACCACTATGCAGGTCTTCTGGCCGCCAAGTTAATATGAAAATAAAGATATGAAAAGGTGTAAAACATGCTACTAAATAGGGGGTCTAAAATAGTATAATTTTTGTGTCATAGATAACCCCACAATTGAACTTTGCTTGTCCTAAGCAAACGAAACTCAAAATCATTCAGCTCGCAAGACCTCTACGATGACATGTAACTTTCGATCATAGGCAGTAGATCATAAGCAGCTTACCAGGTCGACCCTCTAACTTAGAGAACTAGGCCATGATGACACTCAAACTATAGTGTTTATCATTCTCATTTTGATACATTTTTCTGCTTCTATTAATGCATCTTTGCTATATCTTGCTATATTTTAGGTAGAAATCATAACTATGTGAATCAATATGCTATATTTCGGAAACACAATCACGACGGGTAACAGGCGGCGTGGGATCAGATGGGTATTATAGGGTAGCGAAATGTTGTTATTAATTGGAGCTAGCGTTAATAACATATATTAACCAAAAAATTATCAAGGTCATAAACCTTCCGCCCATCATTGATCATCCAATCCACCCCAAATAGGTTTTTTCTATTTTTACAATTTACAATACTAACGGTGGCGAACAATATATTACTTATTTGTCCGTTTCAAATGTGTTTGCTAGCAATTAAAAGTTGTGATAGTTGAAAAGTCGTTAAAATATGGTTTATCATATTGAAAATTATGTATGTGTGCGGGGGCCACCATCGTCCCCTCAGTTGTCTGAATTATTAATTCAAAGCATTTCACTAGATCTTATAGTCTCTGCTTACATTAATCTCCATCCATCGTCCCATCCCAAAGCAATTAAAACAAAACAGACGATGGGTTACCACTCCTCCAACAGCAATCAGAAAAGCCTGGTCTCTGTGGCAATCTTCTCCACCCTCGCCGTGGGAATCCTTTACCTCTGCGTTTGGCCTTCTTCTCCCTCCTCAGATCGCGATTCTTTGCTCCTCTCCAGTATCAACAACGTCACCGTTAGGGACGAGCTGGACGTGGCTCTGGAAAGAGCTTCTTCCACGGTCAACGACAAGACGGTGGTGATCGTGGTGATCAACAGGGCTTACGTGGAGCCGGCGCGTGGAACGAGGGATACGACGACGATGCTGGATAATTTCCTGGAAGGGTTTTGGGTGGGCCAAGGGACGAGGGAGCTGGTGGGGATGCTGCTTGTGGTCGCCGTCGATCAACCAGCTTACGACCGGTGTGTGTTCATGCGCCTCAACTGCTACAAGATGGAGGCGGCGGGAGAGGCTGATGATCACGCCGCCGGCGGCGAGAAGCTCTACATGTCCGCTGGTTTCATCGACATGATGTGGCGCCGGACGTTTCTCCTCCTCGAGGTCCTCAAACGCGGCTACAGCTTCATATTTACGGTACGTACCAGCCCTAGCTAACTTACTACACTGTGTGTGTAACATTAATTAATTAATTAACTCTTCTAGTTCAACGTAGCATTTAATTACTTAGTGATCAGGGCGAATGCATCGAAAACTATTCAACAGCAAATCATAATTACTCAAAACGCTCAAGAAACAAATTATACCGTCATCGATCGCCAGCTGTCTGTTTCCAAGGAAATTTATCAGTTAGTTTTAACTTTTAATGAACTGCGTGACTTAGCTAGTTGCTAGCTCTTGTGTTGTGGAGGAAAATGGGTAGCAGTGTCGGCACGCTACGCTAGTGGAGGATAGTTTGGCTTAATTGGGTGAGACTAGAAACAGTCCGTAGCGTACAAGAAACCGTGTTTTGACTTTGTATGCCTTCAATGCCCACATCGGAGTGGGTGTTGCCAATCGCAGCGGCAGCAGCTGGCTAGGCATGAATATTGATTAATTAATATACATCAAATTATCTGAAAATGTTTGTTTTTTAATAATCAATACCTAAAATTAGTTATAGTTTACTTCTGAGAAAATACATAAGATGAGTTGAATGGGAAGTTGGTAGGCGAATTAGGAGCCTACCTGGCTTAGATCGGGGCATGGGGCTGTTAGCAAGCATTCGGGAAATGGATTAAGGGTGCACCATCAATGTATAAATTGATACATCATCATTTATACAAGGTCGATCTCTAACCTTTTTTCTTATAAATTTTAATATGATATATCTAATTTTTTATACCTCGTAATGTTTTCCACAGATAAATTATATTAATTATGCTATTAAAAAAATATTCAACTTAATATATTTTGGAACAAAAAAAAGACATATATTACTAGTCTATGTCATGATGGTAATGTTTGGTATCAAATAAGATCATACCATGTGGTACGAAAGTGTACCATGGTGGTATGAACATATCAGAGAGTATAATGATTGAATACATGATAGTAAGAATATATGAACTGTCATTTACTATATTCATCATTGCTTACCATTAGTAACCACCGCTCTACCAGGGTGGTATATATGGACTGGTAGATTTAGGTCCAATATTTTTTTTTCAAAAAATTGTTGATAGAATAAATTACAATAATTCGTTCCATCTATGAGAAAATATTCCAAATTCCAAATTTGAGTAAAATGGTGGTAACGAGTGGCATGCAATTTTTTGCCGAAATATGTTGTAAATGAATCTCACTTCGTAGATCACAAGGAACTCGCTTCTTCTGTTAAAAAAAAATTAATTTCAAGTTAAAATGAAAAAGATAAGAGTCAAATAAAAAAATAGAAAATAATAATAAATAGAATATCATTAATTCTTACTCGGTCATTTGGACTCCACTTAAAACTAACGATCCAAATATAATCTACACAATAAATAAAAGCAAAATGAGAAAACTTGAAGTCTCATTTCAAATTTTCTGCATCCAGAGTGAAAGTAGGAAGGACATTTTGGTCTTCACAATTACTTTTTTTATTCATTAAAAAGACACTTACTAGGATTCGAACCATGACCACTTTAAAGAAAAATAAAGATCATAACCAATCACACTAAGTACATTTATTGTATCTTTTTAAATTAAAAACATATAATTGCATAGAGGAAAAAACCCTTCCCCCATTTCAAATTCACTGCTCCAGGAGCGTTTGTAGGAAGAGTAGAATAGGGAGCGTCAATTTTTTTCTTTTTCCTCTGTGGAACGGCCCAACTTACCGTACACATGCGGATTTAAGCGGGTCCAGGAGTGTCAATTTTTTTCTTTAAGTCCTTTTATTTCTCCGTGGTGGTAAAAAATATATATATGAAAAGGCAAAAAACAATACTCCTTTTTATTGCTAAAAATAAAAAAATTTTAACAATAAACTAATGCATGGATTCTAATGGGCTAACTGCTAATCATAAAATAAAAGAGTTGAATGGGTCTGACCTACACGGGATTTTCCCATAAAGTAAAACAAATGAACATCATGGGTTTGCCATTCTAAAACAAGCTATTTTCTCTAGCATAATATATATTATGCTATTATTTTATATCTTAGTGGCTAAAATATAATGTATTTTAAAGTTATTCAATGGTTCAACCTCGACCAACTCAATTAGTCCAATTTTTATCATTTCAAATATATATTATGTAATTATTTGATATCATAATGATTAAATTATAGTGTATATTATAGGGAATCATTTGGTATTTGTTAGTAAAAAACTAAACAGAAAGATCTATTTGGTTTTTTAACATTAAAACGATCCTAAACATTTTCAGTTTCCTTTCGAAATTCTATAGTTTTATTCTCGAATCAGTGATGTGCAAATGGTGAATTGCAGTAATCTCTTTTCTTTCAGGTAAAATACATCAGGTACCACTTAAGTTTGAGAATTGAGGATGTATATCACTTAAGTTTGAATAGGGAGTCAGGTACCATTAAAGTCGCCAAAATGTGCATCCGTCTAGTTTTCCATCCAACCCAAAATTTTAATTACTTTTTGGTACCCAAAACTTTTAAAAACATCCAAAACTATATTTTAACAAGTTTTTATCTGATATAGAAATTAAAAAACCTTCTAAACATAATATTACTAAAATGACTAATCAAAAATTGCCAATAAAATAGATAAATTAGTAAAAACAATAAACAAATATCAAGAAGAAGAATAAATATATAGAATATTATAATAAATATTTAAAATTAATATTAGAAGATCTATTTAAATCGCTAATCCAATTAGAAGTACTATTAAAAACAGTTAAAATAGAACCTTATCGATCATCAATACATCAAGACCAAAAAAGGATAAATGGAACACAGTGAGAAAAAATTAAACATATTCCACTAATTGAAGAAAATTTAGAACGAAAAGAGAACGGAAGTAACCAAGTAATAAATAAATAAAATCTACAACATTCCGTAACACATCTAGAAAAGAAAATACGACTGATAGGGTTAAAGCGTAATACCAATTCCTAACTTGTAGTAATCCGGAAAGTCTGGGTATCGTCTCTTAGGGACTGGTACAACCTTAAGATTTACCGATTTAATAGAGCAAACTATAGGTGTAAATGGTTTAATGAGATTATTAACTACTAGCAAAATAATTAAACAAAACAAGCAAATTAAAGTGTCGGGTTTAATTCAATGGGAGAAAGCTCTGGAAGAAACACCGGGATCCACTACCTATCCTATCCAGATTAATTCACATATTCTAATCAGGTTAATCCAACTCTCTACAGCTAGGATATCACGAATGTGCTAGCTATCCCTGTCGGGAATTACTACGTACTAAACTATTAATTCAAATCCTACTGTCGTAGCTCAATGACTTAATTATTTAGCCTGAAGATCGATATCCTATTTAGGACCGCATAGCACCTTATTTAATCCACTGTCGCTTCGACAAGTTACTATGTCACATGAAACAGGTTCAGTTATTAGGGTTTCACTGTCGCTAATAACCTAATTAACTACGAATCAATGTATTGGTGGCCAGTCAACACAAAGCATTAAGCAATTCCATGCAATAGTGACTGGAAGAAAAGAATCATGAATCAATCCATCAAATCAAGAAATAGCTACATCGTATGGTGTTTCCCCCAGAAATCGGGGTTTAGTTCATGACAAAATTAAGATAAATTGATAGGGTTTTGTTCATCATGTTCTAAATCAACAATACACAACTAGTTCGGTTTAGAAAATCCAACTAACTAATCGCTCTCATTGAACTCAGCTCAAGCCTTGAAGAAGGCGATCGAAATTCGCCTGCTCGCCTTTGCTTTGCTGCCTGCGCCCTTTTTGCTTCCAAAGAACTTTCGCCTCTCCAAAGAATAAAGTTCTTTTTTTTTCGCCTCCACAAATAATCTGCCCCCTTTTATTCCATTCCCAGCTGCCTTCCCCTCCTTTAAGTTGCTGCTGCTTTTCTATTTGCCCTCCGGCCAAGAAATAAAGTTCCACCCCTGGTTCCTCTCGTAATTGCCTTGCCACCAATTAATTCTCCACGAAAATCCCTTATTCCCCAGCTGCTTTTGTTTTTCAAAGAAGATTCCGTCCAAAAATTCCCTCTCGCCCCAGCCTCTGTCCAATTTTAATTCCCCAGCTCAATCCCCTTGCAGCCGCCAAATCCACTTGGATTAATTCCCTGGCCCAAGTCCAAAGAATTGCCATCCAAAGGCCAGCTTCGAGCATTGTTTGTCGATGCAACTTCTTTTTCGTGTTTTCTTCACCTGTAATACATCAAACTCATGGCACTAGGCAGTAATGGGGTTTCAACCATTCTCGGGTTAGCGAGCCTTAAAATAGCACCAATTGGCTAAAACATACCACGGATAATCACATAAAGTTCAAGAATCCGATATATTAAAGCCGAATATCACAACCCCACACTCAATTGTTGCTTGTCCCTAAGCAACGACTCAAACAACACAAACACAAAAGCATCCAAAACAATGACACATTACAGACTCAACACTCAAAGCAAAACACAAAATTTCCTTGTACTCTTGTTGTAATCAGTAGTTTCTTTCTCAAAGGACAAGTTGTGCTTAATGGTCATACCTTTCACCCCACACTCAATTTCTTTGCAACCATTACCATTGACTGACTCAAATCCATCAAAAACTCAAATAGCAACACTCAATTCCGATCGTCGGTAGTGGATGATTAACAACTTATGGTGTAACAGTTATTAGAGGAATCTAACCACATCATTGAGGTGCATATCTCGTGAGGACAGTCTGGCTTACTCACACCAATCATAAGCAATTAATTAAGCATGAGTCTCAAAAACTAATGGGGGAAGCCTTTCGCAAACAAGATTAACTTTAAGCACATCACTACCTTTTATGACAAGGAGAGGCTTTCTCTCTTTCTGATTTTGCTTGCCGAGAGGTCGTATTTAGTACAAGTGGGATTTGTTTCTTACTACCGGTGACCGAGCAAGAGCAATTTCTGCTTCTTAGCACTCGCATAAGGGCTTCTTTCAACTCCTTTTCCTCGGTCCTTGTGGAGGGTCATTGCATCCTCAAATGGCACTTCACTCAACTGGGGATCGTACTTGATAAGCAACATCATACGGTCGCGAACCGATTCTCAATTGAATCTTTCCTAATCCCCATGTGCAATGAGTGATTGCCTCACACGATTGTGGCATTTTTACCCACACTTTAATTGTTATGGCAACTTTCTTATATTTTACTTGTCAGGTAGTGTTTTCTTTTGTAAAGATACAGTTCACCCCATCATTAAACATTCAAAACAGAGAGACTCGTTGCAAAATCAAAAGCTCACAATTGATGCAAGTAAGCACGGTATCCAAACATATCCAATGGTCAATGTTCTCCACCTAACTACTTCACCAAAAGTCATTACACTATCCTCACAAAAAAGAATGTTGCTAAAAGAGTAGCTCATTCCAAGCATATCAAGTCAGTCAAAACATTCAAACTCATTATGAAGAACCATGCAATTCAACACTAGTGGGGTGATTTTGATGATTTCATTTAAGCACAAACTCATTTCACACGCATCACAGTCATTTACATCATGTTACCACAAGAGTACAAGGTTTTGTTTTTGATTTTTCTAGTTTTTAGGTGTTTTTTAGCCATTAACGTTGCATAGGCAGCCTGCTTTTTACACAGGCAAACTGCATGCAGTTTGGCTGTGCTCAACCTAATGGTAATTTTTTTTTTGGATTTTTATTTTGAATTTATTTTGGATTTTTTTTTACCGCCCACATGACAAAAGGAACAAACATTTTTTTTTTGAACACATGACAAAAGGAACAAACAAACACTAAGACTCGCCACCCCACACTCAGGATGGAACATTGTCCCTAATGTTCAACTCCTACTCTAAACATGCACGGGTTTGACACAACTAAAAAGAAAAATAAAGAAAAGAAAACTTACCTTGGGTTGCCTCCCAAGAAGCGCTTGTTTAACGTCCTCAGCCTGACGTTCATGGAGCTTTCAACCAATGGGTATGGAAAGGTATCCAGCATACCCTCCCGAGCAATGATAGAACGCATAACCTCCATCCAGCATATGAGTCACCTCTGTAGGGCCAGGTGTGCGAAAATTGGGTATGACCTTCTTAGCTGGCATGTTAGACCCTTTAGTGAGGCGTAGGTGGTACTGCAGCGCCTCAAGCAGGTACTCTTCCTGTTTCAATGTCAGTGAAGAAGGAATAATAACAGGAAGATTGAAATCCTTACCCAAATATCTATACTTGAGGTGACCTGGCAAGGATTTCTGCCCTTGCTTTGACTTCAGAATCTGAGCAGATAGGATAGGTGATAGTTCTTCGGATGGTCCACTATCATAGGAAGAGGGATTTTTCCTTTCTCGAGCTCCACTTTCAAATTCATCATGATTATGGTCAACTTGAAAGACATTAAAAATTTCCTCCTCCTTACCTACTCGGAATGTCAACTTGCCTCTCCCAACATCGATGAGTGCATCACTGGTTGCTAGAAAAGGTCTACCAAGTATGGGAGGCACTCCCCGATCTTCTTCCATCTCCAGAATCACAAAATCTGTTGGGAGAATAAACTTCCCAACCTTCACCAATACATTCTTCACCACTCCTTTTGGAATTTTCACTGATCGATCAGCCAATTGGAGAGTGATCCGAGTAGGCTTAAGAACATCTCCCAATCCCAATTTCTTGTAGACTGAGTATGGCATCAAATTAATTCCTGCTCCAAGATCACAAAGTGATTTAGCGAACTCTCTACCTCCAATGACACATGGAATGGTGAAGCTGTCCGGATCATCCCTCTTTTCTGGTAATTTATTCTGAATCACAGCACTACATTCAGAAGTAAGGGTTACCTTCTCCAGATCAGCCCATTTGCGCTTCTTAGTCAGCAACTCCTTTAAAAATTTAGCATATGTAGGCATCTGTTCAAGTGCCTCCGCCAATGGTATGTTAATCTGAAGTTGCTTGAAGATATTCACAAATTTCTTGA